TCCCGGTGGCAGCGGTGGATGATATCCTGAAGGATGTGCTGGGGAGCTGCCTGAGGGAGCAGCCGTACGAGCCGGCCCGGTGCAGGGACATGGCGAAGGACATCGCTGAGGTATCGCTGCGCGCGAGGCACGAGGCGGCCATTTTGTACTCAGGCCTCGACGGGGTGTCAGGGAGGTGGCCATCAGAGCGGGGACGTCCCCAAATATAAATATCAAGTGTAAGACAAATGCTGGAGGAGGCCGTCAGGGTGCACCAAGGGTTGGTTTGAGATGGGTGCAGGCTTACTCGAGTTAGCGATGAGGTTTGTTTGAGCAGGGGTGGCTCTGGCCAAGCACACGATTCAGTAAAATCCCCATGCTCTGGTTGCCCTGTTCAGAAATACCATTAATAAGTTTAAGTATGTGTCAGACCTTTCTGAAATAGGCCAGTTACGGTAGCGGCTGAATTCTGCATGTGCAAGTTCCTTCTCGCTTAAATGCAGTCTTCCTTTCCTGCTGAGAACAGACTGTCCTGATCCTTTAGTCTTTCAGATTATTTGCCCCAGAAGAGCTCACTGGCATTAAAAAAGCAGCACTGTCTGCCCTTCCTTTGCCCCGTCTAATACGTGGGTAACTATGAACACGTATGGAGGAGAATATGGTATTCACGTACAGCAGCTCCTTACTAACATCTGTGCTTGCATTTCAGTAGCCCAGTGCCTATTTTCAGCAGACAGGAGTGTAGGTCCTCTTCTGAAACGACCACAGCAGCGTACATGCCACCTGTCCACGGGGCTGGGGGAGTTTGCAGTAGATGTTTCAAATGCTGCAGTTCAAAGATTGCCATCGGGGTTGTTGCAAGAGCTCTACGGTGCAATGCTTGCACCTGTCTGTCCCAGAAAACCAAATCTCTGAGCATCTCCTGTAAAGAGAGCTCACCACTTGTGTCTAAATGTGTTTTTCTCTTGCAGGTTATTAAAGCTCGGGTAAAAGACCTTCAGGTACCAAGGTACAAGATTGTTGTGGTGACCCATATTGGGCAGCTGAATGAGCAGAGCATGCAAATCGGAAGCAGGTGCCTGTGGGACCCTGTGAGCGATACGTTTTCGTCATATGTGTTCAAGAACACTTCACTGTTTGCTCTTGCAAATGTCTATGCTGTTTATTTTGAATGAGGTAGTTGAGTTTAACAGCAGGAGAAATGACCATTCAGCCTAACTTCCTGTATCTGTTGTTGAAACTGGTTGTGAAGGACCAAGGCAACTTTCACCTGTTTTGAAACGTGGTTACCGTAAGCCTTTCAGCAGTAAATGTAATAATTGTATTTCCCAGAGCTTTCTCTGGGAAGTGATTCTCTATGACGTGCTGCTTTGCAGCTGATTTTAGCAGCTTTCAGAAATGGGTATCACTGTAATACTTTTTTTCTCCCAGAATTTGCCCTCATTGTGATCCTCAAGTAGAAACCACATTTTTGGAAAGTAAAAGAAAAGCGTTTTAAAACCACCCCCATTAAATGGCATTTGTGGGCAGTTAAGTGCCTGCCAGGCCCTGTGGCCCCCAGCTCCATGAACACGCTGTGTTCCCTGTGCTGTGTCCCATCAAGCTGCAGTAGCTCTGTGCTACAAGTTACCCTGCCCTGCCTGGGGGATGGAGGGATCCCTTCAAACCTTCTTGCTGGCCCCAGAGATGCCCCAGGTGGGCTCTGCCGTGGGAGGGTGGCAGAGAGCAAAAGAGTCAGGAGCTTTGCTTGCCAGGGGCTTGGCCTGGCTGCCCCTATCTCTGAGCGAAGCCCTCAGTGCAGAAAAGGTGTCCTAGAGAAGGTGGCTAGTTCTGCTTGGAGAAGACTAGCTCAGCCCCATAGGGTTTGAAATCAGGTGAAAAATGTCTTTGAATTATATCATGTTTAGAGTATATAGATCTAACGTATCTGGGCCCACCCACCTAAAGGTGCTTGCGTTCAGAACAAAAAGTTGAATCTGGGTTCTCAGCTGATACCTGCCTATAGATAAGAGGGGAAATACAGCCCTCTGAGCTCAGAGGCGTATTCCCAATCTCCCTCCCTGCGTGCAAACTAACTGTCCGCTAGGTAGGACCTCAGGTAGACGCTCCTGGAAGCAGCTGGAATAGGAAATAAACCATGGCTACTGCCTGCCCAGGTCAGGGGCTGGTGCTGACTGGTCACAGGTCTCATCTGCAGCCGTTGCCCTGCTGTGGTGAGGGTCTGACTCACGGGCCTCGCGGCATGACGCGCTGCGCAGAGCTGTCTGCACTGCTGTCATTTTGTTCTGATGCCGAAGACAGACTTTTTGCTACCCATATTTCACAGCTGAAACCTGCTGTTGGATTTTCGTGAGAAAACAAGCATATAATAAATTGCTTATTTTATTACATTTTATGTGCAAAGCTGAAACTAGAACAGTGGTTAGATGGGAAGAGATATTTGTACTCATGACTAGAAGTTTAACTCTGAACGGCTGTAAACACTTTGTGGAACCCAGACAACCCAACCTGAACTGTCACTGCAGCCGTCTGCTGGTTTGCACTACAACATTTAACGTTCAGCCTTTACTCCCTAGTGTACCCCAAAGAATAAAGCTACAGTTAGAGAATACAACTGAAATAATTGTGGTTTATGTTGTGATTATTTTAATACACGAAAGCTGTGACATTGAACCTCGTCGGCATCTGCTGCGTTTTAGCACAGCGAGCTGATCTCTCTCTCGCTGCAGCCAATGCTGCAGCAGGTTGTGGTGAGCAACTTGGCTACTTCGCGCTTTTTTAGTGTAGACATTTTCCTGGTGTGTTGTAAGTCTCGCTCTGTCTCAGGCTTGATGTTGTGGATTTCTTCGCTGTAAGTCTCCAGCCTCTGGTCTGTGTACATCGAGGAGTCGGTATAACCATTGTTCTCTCGTGAGAAGGGCAGGGGATTTTCACTCTCTGTCATGTAAAAATCAGAAGTCATGGAATCATGAGTTGTTTATAATATTTATCTTTACTAGAAAGACAGACCAGCCAACAGCCAGGGAGCTGAAATTATTATCCTCTGCATTTCCAGTGTGAGCAACTGTGATGCACCAGATCACTGACTTCTCACTGGGGCAATGTTGAAATACATTTTGTGAGGTACACATTCTGTGATTAACATGATAAAAACACAGTAATTTTTGGATTTACATTGAGGGTTCTTTGTAGGAATAGTTGCCTTATCAGTCTTACACTGATGCATTTGCTTCGAAGGATAGAACTGTGATTTGATGCATCAGTGGCACTTGACCAGCATGTTAAGCTGGAACTGCTTGTGGGTTTCCTGAAATGCAGGTAACATGTTAAGGCATCAGATACCCCACAATTTTAAAGTTCCTGGATATTCCCACTTAAATTACGCTTGCAATTCATGTGCGTTTTAAATACCACAGTACAACTGGGCACTGCCTTGTGGAGTTTACAAAGGTACAGTACTTATCTTGCTGAGTTTAGCAGTGGGGCTTTTCTTCTCCTTTAAACAGACTCTCGGGTAGGGTGTTGCAGGTGGCATCACTTTTTATGTTTGTTTAAAGCTACTGCTACAATAGAATCCTCAGAAAGCCAGATGTTACTGCACCTGCCTCATTTATTTTCTTTCTTCCAGTTATTTTAACCTATTAAGAGTACAAATTTCTAGCAGTGCATGTCATGGCTGGATTTTCTGACTCTAAAAGTGTGCTAATATAAATATACACAACACCATGTGGAGATACTTAAATTGCAGAGTATATATTCAACGTATTTCAGTTATAACACTCTTAAGTTGTAATAAAGTTTCTGGTTTCTAGTGGGGAAAGCGGTGTGTCCTGCTGCAACAGTAAAAAACTTGCATTGACTGCAGCGAAGTTTCTCTCTGATATTTAAAATGTCATGGCATAGAGATTCTCAGTGATAGTCCTGGGCTTAACTCATGGTTCCTCAGGCTGACTTGGAAAATCTTGATCTAAATGTTTTTTATTTAGCAAACCCACATGCTAAGCTAAGCCAAGCCAAGCCAAGCCAAGCAAGCTGCAAGGAAACAAAAAACACGAAGTTGCACCACTTCTCTTGCTGTCTGAAAGCAAAGCCTGGGCTGTTCATGCCTGATGCACCTGTTTAGGGGAGCAGCCAGAAATCAAGGGCACAGCTCTGCCTTTAGGTGCAGCCTGCAGGTGATCTGGTTCTTATGAATCCCCTCAGATTCAGGTGCACCTTGTGGAGGGTGATAAGCCTGTAAGGCGTTAATTAGTACTTACCAAACAGGTAGGGATAATCAGTGAAGTGCCTTTTCCACCTAGAGCCACCGCAGGTGAAGATGATGGCTCTGATAAAGTCCCTCCCGCAGAGCTTCATCGTGTTTCCTTCACCTTTTCCTTCACAGGTGGCAATCAGGAGAGGGAGCAAGGTCAGGGCCAGGGCCAGCGCTATGCCCCTCATCCTGCAGACAGGGTGCTCCAGGGCTGGGTGTCGGCGGGGCAGGAGGGATCTGCGAGGAGGCTGAGGTAGGGAGTTCTGCTGGAGTCCTCTCCTTTATACTGATGGCCCGTCCGCTCCACTGAGTAGTGGCTCGCTCTGAGGATGACTTAATGTTTGCTAGAACCAAGTTAATCACTTGTTTCTCGTAATGTTTTAAGTGCTTTGGGATTTGCACTGGGATTTCAGTCAGGTATTAAAGACTTCTTAAGACTAGGTAACTGCTTTACTGTAGGAACACATGTGGTGTAACATTTGTGGGGTATGGGCTTGGATTGGTACTGTTAATGTTCTGCAAAAATGAAAGGGTGTTTATGACAGGATTTGAAGATAATGGGCTTTGTCTTTGTGTGTCTCCTGCACAGCTGTGCTACCGCAGCCCATTGCCCAGTTGTGCTTGTTAGCCCAGTTTAAGCAGCATCGGGTCTTTTTCTGTTGATGATCCCAAACTAAAAGGGAGTTAATGGCTTCCATTAACAGCTTCCAGTGATGCCTGCAGTTGTGTATCTCTTCGTGAGCCCTGCCTTGTTCTCTTGCTGAGCATCCCCTCGTCAAGCTGGCAGCTGCAGATGCTTCAGAGGAATCTGCCAGTGCCTGGCAGTCACTCACAAGAAAATCATGTACTGAGGGGGGTTTGTGGCAAGTGTAGGTATCTGAGCCTGGGAATGCCCCGCTATGATTCCTAGTGTGCTACCTGACAGGATGTGACCTGGCAGGGCACAGAGCATTTGAGCACAGTGAACTTACTTTTACAAACTGTACAGAGCAGCGTAGCTGTTGACAGCTTGTGCCCTTGGGTATTTCCCTTGCAGATACCTGGATGCAGTGGAGTAGCTCCGCTGCAGCTGCACAGCTCACATGTCCCTGCAGTGAGGCCTCTGGTTGTGGCCCTCGTCCAACAAGGCATAGAAAAGAGACGGAGATGGCTCTAAACAAAGCACAGAATAGCTACAGGTCGGCATCCTGGCTGTCCTTTCCATTTTGATAATATCTGAAAGACAGAAGTTGGTTCGCTGAAGCAGCGTGGAGCAGTGTTACTGTGCTCTGGGACCAGAGGCTAGCAGATTGGTTATGCTACCATGGACATTTGTTGGCTGCAGCTGCTGTGTCTATAAAAAACTCTTGCAATAAAACGCCTTAGGGAGAAAATTTGTCAATTATGAGGTCAGAAATTCCATGTTTGAGAACAAAATACATGAGGAACTTTGGAGATCTTTAGCACTTCCTAGCACCACAAGTGTTCTCCAGCACCATAATGTTGCAGTTAATTAGTTTACACGATGTGCAGGGTGAATTACGATGTGTTACAGCCTTGACAGAAAGCTCATTTTTTGCCAGTAGCACCAGTAAGTAAACAGTCATGACCACCGATGGAAAAATATATGGTGTATTTTGTTCAGATTTGTAATAATGATTAACACATGATTCACCTTTAATGGGTGTCTTTCTTTGGGATGCGCAAAGATTAATTTTATGTGAAGGATAAGCTTGCATGTTCACTTGTAAAATGTGCAGAACACAGAAGGAAGTGAATGTTAATGCATCACAAATGATCTTTAACTTCAGTGATGTGTTTAAATGTTGGACATTTATTGTCAGGCTAATGAGAGAGCCTGAACATTCTGTATCTATAAAATAGATGTCTTGCTACATAATGCTTTTGAGATCAGTTGGCAGGCAGAGTGTTTTACTGCCAAGCTCGTGTATCGCCTGGCTCCTATGATGGAGATCCCTGCTGCACTGATCAGGCAGTAGGGCTATAGCCTAGATCATCTTCTTAATTAATTAATTACTCATCTATAGAGGTGCTCATTATGTTCTGTGAGCAGCCAGTCTCTGAAAACCCTGTAAGATACCATGGTCCAGCTGGTGGCTCACTGGGTGCTTTTCTTGTGTTTCTTCTGATCTGCCCTCAAAAAAGACAGCCTAGGCAGCCAAATGCTGCCTGCTTCCAACCAGCAATGCAGGCCTGAGCAAGCGTTGCTGACAGCTTTTGGCTCTCCAGATGCTGGGGTGGGCTAGGAGGGGTGGTGAGATCTCAGAAAAACACGTATCTGGCTTCCAGAGCTGCAAAAGTCAATCCTTCCTCTAGGAACGCACTGTTACTGCGTGAATTTAAACTGCAATTTTACATCATCCTAATTTGTCAGGGGTTGAAAAAGTTGGTTTCTACTTTTGCCTGGTGTGGGATGGTCTGCAGCTCGCAGGACCACCTGATGCCACTGAAAGCTCAGCTTTCATCCACAGTGGTGGTTGGTTTATGGGATGACAGGCAAGACGGATCTGATGAAAAGTCTACTTGCTTACTGTACAATTTCACAGGAAGATAGAGACTGCATCTGGCAAGGCCTTAGGCTGTATTATGGAGTGGTCTATACAGGAGGTGATTTTGGCATTTTTGCTTTTTGAGTAACCTAAGGAGAAAAGACCTTGGAGGAAAAAAACAAGGAGAAAAGACTACGGAGACCTTTCTATTACCTTATCTGTATTATAGGGAAGGCCATCTGTGTATTAATACTGTTTGTGTAATGAGGGGGACTTCCAGAGGAAAATGTAGAGCATTTGAAAGAAGCTTCCACCCAGAATGGTTTCAAAGAGAAATTTTAATGATTCAAAAAGAATAGATGGTTTATGTGAATACTATAGTAAGTCTTTCTTGCTCTTTACTAACTGAGAAGTGGTATCATTTCGCTACTGTTAAATAGCTACAGCAGGACCAATTACGTCATGTAAAGTATCAACCTGTAAAACAAGAGGGGAAAAAAAGAGCTGTATGACAGTGTAATTGCAGTATAAGACATGCAGTGATCCAAAATTCCTATTTACAAACTGAGAATGGGATTGCTTGTGCAGTGAGCATCTAGAAAGCAGGCTAGGGTAGTTTGTGCTATGTCAGCTGATTCTTCTTTGGAACTCTGTTAATACTGTGCTTACCTCTAAGAGTGCTCCTTGAAAATAACACTTTCTGGCAGGCCTGTTTGGATTGCATCCATAGCATAATACTTAGCAGCGTACAAACATGTATCTTGTTTATAAAGGAAATTAATTTTCAAGATGATACTTGTATGGTAGCTTTACTTAGATGTGAATAATTATCTTCCTTTAGTACAGACCCTGTTGTGCTGAGCCTTGGACATACCTAAGCCTAGAGCCTAGGAAGACCTTGCTGTTATCAGGAAAGGGAGTGAAAGGCATAGATGATGCTGGAAAGCAGGGCTCACTCTGTCTAATGAGGCTCTGTGACTCAGTGACCAGTTATGCCATATGCCCAAAGTCTGTGAAATTAAGCACTGGTATTTTTAGTCCTGTTCCGGTGACATACCCAGAAAATTATCCCTATACTCTTTTTAATTGAAGAACTTTTTTGCTCAGAGGACTTGGGCTGCTTCGTGGTGACTTGTAGAAAAAAAACAACCCACTGATTTTATTTTCTAAGTTTGACAACAGTGGCCTCACTTTTAGTTTTTTTTTGCTCTGTGGTTTACAGCACGTGGCAAATAAGGCTGGTAATTACCAGAATTTCTAAATGCAGTGCTGACAATTGTGAATTATTAATGCTTAATACCCTAGGAATGAAGGTTAGATTAACATCAGCATTTTCATTCTCTCCAGCTTAAGTTTAGTGTTTTGCACCATGTAACTCAGAAGGGATTTTAAAAAGTACCGGTCCCACCTTACAAATTGGGAACCCAAGTCCCATAAGGCACAGCTACTTGCTTGAAGTTGAAAGGACAAAGGGAGCAGTGCAGTTCGGGGCTGTGGGCCACCTGCAGATAGATCCTGGAGGAGGGATCTACCCAGTGCTAGTGTACCCAGGGTGGCATCAGGATTTTGTACCATGTACCATGGGGCTTTCATATAAATTAGCACTATTTTATAGTGCTATAAATTAGCAAAAGTGAAGAGAAGGGATTCACAGTTGACATCAGTCAGTTTTTATACTACTGCTGATGCGGAATCTATGCAATGGTATGTTTGGAAAGGAACCTAGTTGTAAGGCAAGTCAGATTCTCACATGTCATGTAGGACAGAAAAGCCCTCGCTAGGATAAGTAGTGGCTTTTAAAGGAGCAAAGGCAATATACAGAACCAGAGGGCTAATGGGTTTGCTGACACCAACAAAGTGAGACTATCTTGTTGGTGGCCAGGAGAGGGCACGTCCTTCCTGCCTTGTAAGCAGGTAAGGGCATTCTGCCAAATGGTCACCTGCAGACTGCATTTAGAGGAAGCTCCATTTTCCTGCCCTTGCCCCTAATGTCCCTCTCAAATCCAGCTGTGGTGAACCTCTGGATTTGCAATCAAGTGAAACCTCAAGTTCGACATTGATTTAACTGTTCCTGAAGTTTCTAGTCGTACAGCGTGCAGAAGAGCAGGAACCACCTCAGGTTTTGATCTGGTTATGAATTCTCTCTGATTCCACCTATTTCAATAATTATTAGCTAGATCTCTAACAGAAACCTCTTTCTGAGGAATGAAGTACCAGACAGGCATGCGGGCCTCTGAGGACCACCACCTTTTCCTAGTGAATCATACCTTATTACTGTTGGGAGCAGCCAGGTTCTGCAGCTCAAACACGCTGACTTCTCCTTTATTGCCTCCTACAAGAAGGCAGTCGGTGTTCTTAGCAAAGAGTACAGATGTGAATTTCACTCTTGGGTTGGCAGAGGAAGAGATCACGGGGTTCAGGCTGCAACCCAGAAGAGGCAAGAATTGATAGGTAACATTGCATTCGCCTGAGTGCACTATCATGTAAAGTCTGGCAGTAATGTACGCCTGATAAATGTTGCATGTTTTACTTTTTATGTCCTAGATTGATTCAAAAAAACTATGAAATGAGGCAGTGTTTTGTTTTGTCTCTACCAGAATAAAAATCCTATTAACAAAGATATCCTGGCTGCCTAAAATCTGTCTGTTGCCTAATGGGGGGGTGGGGGAGGGTGGGATGGTGAATATTTTTATTCTATGAATAATTTGCTTTTTGCTAGTGCAAGATATGGCGGGCCTCCTGCTCCACTGCCATCATTAATACTAAATAGTACAGACCAGCAGTACAAGGCCACAGATTAACTAACCTGCATATGAGATGTGCACCTACTTTACAGTAGTGGGAAAATGAGAGGTATCTGAACTGCTGACTGTCTTATCTTTATATAAAATGTCCGAAGTAGCTCAGTTTTGTTGTTTTTCCTTTTAACTATAGAAGCGGTAGAATCTGATTTATGCAGCAAAAAAGGAGTTTTACCCTTTATCAGTTCCACAAGGCATCTAGCTCCTCCTCTTATAATCACAATTCTCTGGTAACTACCATCTGCTTTTACAGAATGAGTATTTCAAAATGCAATACTTTCAATAACCAAGCAAGCGGCATGGAGCTGTCACGATTTGATAACAATACCGATTAGGCAATAATGTGTAGCCTTTGCGCCATGAAGTTTCAGAATCTTCTTTGAGAAAAGTAATTACTTACATGCTGACACTAAGATCCCAAATTTCTACTCTGCTTTCATTTGCTGCTGCAAATATGAAGGCTGATTTTGGAGACCACATAATGTCATGAACAAAAGCAGAGGCGGAACTGAAAGTTAAAATGGGTGTCTGGGAAGCCTGGTGCCATAAAATAATGCTCCAGTCTGCAGAACAGCTTAGGAACATGTCAGTGCTGAATGGATTCCAAGCAACTTTGTACACAGGACCCTTGGTGTTTGGGAAGAAACAAAAGAGAACTTTGTGTTATTACAGAGCTAACGGCCTCACAGGATGGTTTTTAATAGTGACCTGACTGTCCTCTGACCTTAAAAGCAAAACCAGCATTGTGTTATGCATAGCCATGGGAAATTAGGATGCAGCAGATGTGATAAGATGGGAGACATCTTAGGAATAAAAAGCATTCAGCTGATTCTGTCCCTTCACCGCTTGTTAGGAGGAGCTGATGCTGAAAGGCAGCTTCGTGGATGAAGCAAAGACTTTCAAAAAAAAAAAAAAAAAGAGGTGCTGTTAAAGTTCTGCCGTCTTTCCCTCAGAGGTAGGACTGTTTAACTGTGGTTTGCAGGACAATCAGATTACTTAAAATAAAGCTGGAACTAACACTTTAAAACAGTTTATGGTACAAGTTTTAATAAATTACTTTTAAAAAAAATCCCTATAGTGTAGAAGGTAATCCTGTAAGACTGTGATGCTTTATGCTATGCCAATTAATTTCTAATATAAGGACTTCTGTTGCAGATGTTTTGTGTAGTAAATATAAGCAAAGAAACTATTACATTTGTAAACTTAACTGAACAGCTTCTCTGTCATTACTTTTCCTATGTGTCACTCACCTTATGGCCTCTGTATGTCTCCAGAAACTGCTCGCTGCATGAACAAGAACACTTGTGGATATGACCCTCTTCTGTTCCAACTAGATAAAAATTAGTATCCTGAAAGAAAGGTAAATGTAGCCCAAGTTCCATTAACCTATTTATCACTCATCCAAAAATATATAAAGGACTGGATGAGTTTGGCAGTGACGGTCCTCTGAAGAGCTAAGGTGGAGTTGCGAGGATGTTGTGTTGGGCTGCTTGCATGTGTGCTGCAGAGGTGTATGTGCAGTAGATATAGCTGTGCCAGAATGTATCAGGTGTGCTATGTGTGTTCTCCATCTATGCAGAACATGTGCTGTGATTTTTGACTCCTGCAAATCTCGGACATTCTGCAATCCACCTGGGCAAAGGCATGAATTCCTCAAATGCTGAGGACAAAATATTCAACTGGATAAAGAGGAGAAGCACAGACCTCTAAGTCCTAGACTAGATAGAGATATTCAGCAGTCAAATTGTCACTGATTTGACCAACACACAGAGGAAAGCTATCCTAGGATCTGGCCCAAAGCAAATGTGAGTAACATGGCTGAAATTATATAGGCGCTCACAAACAGGGATTACTTGCTTGGTTTACCATATAATCCATTTTGGATAAAACTGTTATTAGCTAAGAAGCAATTTGTTTCAGAGCTAAATATGCTTTAAATACCAGTGCCAAGTCCCAGGCCAGTGCATACTGAAGTAGCTCCAGCTGAGGATCTCACCCCAGCTGCATAGTTTTCCTGGATAATACTTTAGCCAGGATGGACTTTCTGAGCCTACCTTTGGATGGAAGTCGAAGCACATTCCAGCTGCCTGTTGAGATATCAGAGCTTCACTTTTCTTTTCTTTCTCACCTGGTAATTTCTTCTTCTCACTTTCTGTTCGCTTTATTTTCATCAGATCTGTGCAGATGGCAAGAGTTTTTGTCAAACAGGTGTGTGACAGTGCTATGAATAACTGGTAGTTCTTTGGAATGCTCAGCAGCTCTTAAATATTTTGTGTATGATAACTGGTATAAAGAATGTCACCTGATAAATGAAGCAATTGCAATTTTAGGTATTATCCCTCTGCAGAAAAGCTGCAGGGGAAAATGCTTACCAGTGCAATCTAGTCTTTTCTGTATAAACCACTCAGTTATTCGGCCATCTGCTGAGATACAGATTAATCTCTCTTTTCTGCCATCTCCTGTTGCATCTCTGTCCTGTTCCACCCACCTCAGTTGCCATACAGGACCTGTATGTTTATTTGAGGATTCACTGGGACAAAAGATGCACACAATAAATCATATATGAACAAAGACAAGACAATATATTTGAAAAATAATTAACCTTCCACTTTGCAACGAACGTCAAGGCTTATGACAGAAATGTTTAGCTTTTCTTAAAAAAAAAAAAAATCTGAACATTGGCTGTTTTCTCCAGGAAATTTTTTGTTTTATCAAAGTTGTTTGATATTTAGTTTCGGGGCACTGTTTATGTGCTGACACACCTTTCATTGACACCTGAGTCATGAAATCAGTCTGCACCTTGTAGGAGAGTGCCCTAGACCTGGGGAGCTGCCCTTAGGGCAAATGTCTCCCTGATAACACCACCCCCACCCCCATTTTCTTCTTATTCCTGCTTATCCTTCACCTATTCTGATGTTCTCTCAATTTTTGGTAGGTGGAATCAGTGAGAAAACACCAAAAGCTACCACTGGTCTCCCAGAAGGATTTATTATCTGGGGCGGGATTGTCCTAGTTAGTACACGGAGTATAAAATGATAAATGGTGGTTAACTTGTGGCATCCTCTTACAAAGTCAGAGCATAGTACTCATTTGTTTCACCCTTCTAATGTGGGGAACTTGCTTTGTACGCACAGCAACAGCACAGTTTCATACCCAAATAAGGACCAGTCATTAAAGTAATGTAAGAATTTATCAGCCAAAAAAATAGAGAATGATGTCAGTGCAGAGGGAGAATGGCAGTGTCTGAGGATTTGGCTGTATCGGTGTGACTAGGTGGATGGGAAAAGTCTGGCTGGCCCACTCTGGTCCTTCCAGGTATTTATGCACTATCATAAATGTTTGTGTCTGCAGTTTTGCTCCAGAAACTTCTAGTATTTGGGAGTATTGAGTGTTTATGTAGGCATTTCCCATCAAAACTGGAAGATACTGACAGAAGTTAGAAATGAAAAAATTGTGCAACATCCCTAAGCATTCACAAGCCTTATCTATCAAGACTGTTTCTATTTCCTCAGCTTCTCTTACTTGTTATTTGCTAAGACATGACCAAGGTGGAGGAGACAGGAAATCACAGCCTTACCCGCTGTCCAGAAGTGCGGTGTCAGTACAACTCCGTACGTTATAGATTGCGACAGAACCATTGTACATTCCAACTGCTAAAAGATTTGGGCTTGCCATAGAAAAATCCAAAGCAGTAACACCATGCTCACACCGGAAAATACGCTCTGGCCACTGACCAGTAGAAAAATACAAGAATGTTTTAAGTTAGTTTCTTAATTTACTTCTGTCTTCTCAACACTGGATACTAAATTGCTAGGCTCTGCTGGAAAATTCAAGTGACCATAGTGACTACTTCTATACAGAAATTAGGTACTATGTTCTAAGTGGCTCAGTTTATTTCTTGCTGCAACTGATAAAATTAGGAAAAAATAAAGACTATGCAGAAATGACACTGTAAAATAAGTTAGAGGGGCCTACTCCAAACCAAATACCTAAAAATAAGTTCCCTGATTCAGCTATGTGAGTACAGTGTGGGGATTTTGTTTGTTTGATTTGGTTTTTTTCTTTTTAAAACAAACTTGGCATTTTGGAAAATTTCTCCAGTTTTTTTTTTCTATCTTGCAAAGTAAAGGTAAGTACCTTTCCCATTATAGAAACTTAGCTGAAGATGAAATGCAATGTAATATACTTCAGGTAATCTGTAAACTGCTATTTTCATATCATTTCTCTATGTAACCAAAGAACTGATTCAGCTCTGTTACAAGATTAAATCCTTAAAGTCACTGCACTGAGCTCTTGAAATGGGAAACACTAGAGTGTTAGTCTGCAAAGAACCGTATTTCAGCGTGCATGCCAGACCTTATTTCTTGATCTTACACACTTGAGGACTATGGTGACATCAGGGAATCACAAGAGCATTTGATTGTTGTTGACGTGATAAATGTGCATCAAAGACTTGACTCTGCGTGATTTAAATCAGTCTAATGCATAATTTTGGGGAAGTGAAGTTTGTCAACTGAATGAAACTGAAGTTGTGTAATTTGACAGCAATCAGGTAATTTTTACTGTGTCACTTTGTAACCGAGATTTCCAAGATATTTTTTTAAAAAGTGGCTAGTTTAAAAAGGTTCACTTTTCAGATGGATATGCAAAGACGGGTTACATCTATTAAACCTACTGTCTTTTTGACTGTAATATGAGAAGTTAGCTTAGATAATTAAATATAATTATATACTTTCTATTTTTTCCTTCAGCCTAATGGAATTTCATGGCACAACAGAAAATGGATTGGAAAGGATAATCATTAAATTTAAAATACAGATGTTCTCTATAGTGAGAGTTTAGAATTATTGAACAAATGGTCTGTAGATTTTGAAAAACAAAAGGTAAACGGACTTATTTTTACATTTGCTGTGCTCAAGACTTTTCCAGTCTAAAAAATAATTTCTACACACCTGGGTCTACCCACAGTAGTAACGAAACAGGTTTACAGTCTTGGGTAGGTCACCCTAGGGATTGGAAATGGGATACAGAGATCTGCATTGCTAAGTTGCCTAGCATAGGCTGGTACTACCTGAGAGTTGTAGCCATCTGTTAGTTGTTTGGTGGCCTGTGCGCAATGAGTCTAGTTCCTGTGAACAGATGTCCATGTTACCAAACCACCAGCACGGTCAACACCTCTGTTGGAAGTGTCAATTGAGAAGACGGACAGGCACAGAAACTAAACTGCTTCCTAGAGGCACTTTCTTTGGGCCAAGAATTAAGCACATTGCTAGGTACTGCAGTCAGAATCAATTTTCCAGAAATGTGGGGTCTGGGCTAGCAAATTCAACATTACTAGCTAGGTCTTGCTTTTTGAAGCAGGAAGACGGAAATAAATAAAACAGAAATAGTATAGCAGAAAAATGCATTGAAGACACAGAAAACAAACTGGCTGCTCGTTACCATGGGGTTCTTCAATGACCAACAGCAAGCCAAGCCTTTCTTCTGGTCTTTAAAATCAAATGCTCCATAACCAACAGCTAAAAGATCCTAAAAGCACAGATTAACAGATATATCTCAGTTTAACTTGAAGTTCAGTTCTATATTTTTAAAAGGCAACTTTCTGATAACAGTGACTCTCAGTGCAAAGTCTGGAAAAATAATATTTATGTCATATGCAAATAGAATAACACACAAGAACAGAATTTCAGAATTTTTTGAATATTGGAAACTGGTTCAACTAAAAGTGCATTCATAGGCACTATCATTTGTGTTTACAATTCCTCCTTCCCTGGCCATCATAAAAATATGTCCCTTTACATTAGTCTATAACCATATTTTAATGGAATACTTAATACTTCTACTTTTTTTCTCTGTGTTAGCTGTAAAAGGAGCTTTAGTGACCACCTCAAACTCCTAGCTTTTAGCTCTCTACAGTGGGTCCAATGAATTCCATTCATTCCTTTCCATAAGTAGAAGTAAGAAACAGCAGCAAGACTTAGTCTTCAACTCCATTAGTTTTTTTTCCTACACACAACAAGTAGTTTGTGAAACTAACACTCTAAAAGTAGGTATTTGTTTGCTCTATAATTCTAAGACTGAAGTCTATAAATGTGTCCAACTTTATAATATCTGGGGATCTGGTGTACTAAGAGTATGAAATTATCTTTATTGTATTTTTTTTTTTTCCTTGGGGCAATCTTACTGATTTTATGTTTCTCATCCTCACCTGCTTTTTACCTTCCTTCCATTCATTATTTTTGTTGTGGCCATAAGAGAGGTCTGTTGGAAAAACTGAGCCTTACATTACTCTGAAAGTAGAGATGTCTGAGTCATTCTCAGCTCCACTGAAACTGAATTAAATAAACTTGGGCCAGCTGCTTAGAAATCTGTGCCTGTTATTAAGCATCTTAAAGTTTGATGAATGCTGCTTTCTTGGGAGACTACTGTTAGAAGCAAAGATGTGGTATCTAAATTCTCATGAATAAACTCTATCAATGGTGATAAAGTTTAGTGGTAAGGGTTTAAATTTCAACTTCCAATTCTATAACAGACCAAGTCTATTATTTTAACATTGTTGTTCAGGTGACCATCCATGGTAAACTGGACCAATTAAATTAAATTCTGGACCAATTCAAGCTGCTGTGATACATTTGTAGGAAAAGCCTAGCACAGCTGCCTAGCCTGTAGAATAATGTAGCAATATTGCTACATGGAAGGGCAAAATAGAGAGAGTGGAATGCAGAGACAACCTACCTGACTGTAGGGATGAATCTGTCTCTCTGAGATCCCTCCCAACAAAGTACATCAAAATCGGGAGTTTGTTTGTTTACACCAACAATTGCTTATACCATATTAGATTAAGCGATTTGTTAACTCACTGGGTTTACTTTGCTCCAAGCCATACTGCTCACACTGTGACCATTAGTTACATCGCATATATATGACCACAGCCATTCCAATTTGGGAGGTAGAATTTCTTCTGGGGTTTTATGTGGATCGGACAGAATTGATGGGTCAGTAAATGCT